CTCCTACTAAAAAGTCAAGCATGTAGGGTTTGTCTCGGACTTTGGCACGCGTAGCCCAAATCCAGCCCACAATATGAACAGGCTTGGTTGCCTTTATTTCTCGGCATAGGCTCTGTCATGTTGCCTCTTATGGGGATAAAGGACCCAGGCTTTGCTTAGAGTCCAAGGTTGTAATACAAAATGGGAAAGTTGATAAAGAAAAAAAAGACTGATGTGGAGGATGGCAAGTAGCAATCTCTAAGTGAAGGGTCACATTTATGAGGAAGGAGCCAAAGCCACCAGCAGGCGCAAACTACTAAAGCATACCCGATTCTTTCGTAGTAGCAATAGCAAGAAACCAAGTGTCTCAACCATTTTCTTCTCCCATCTTCAGTATACTGATACGATGTATATATATCCATACAAGTAGAGTACGGCATAGTTGACAGCAAAATATTAGTTTTTAGATGAGCCCTCAGAGAATGATGTTAAAGAGTAAGAGAGAAGTGAGATTTGGAAATATCTTGGAAGTTGGGGACTCAAACAAAGAAATCAAAATTCCAAAATAAAGAAATAAGATCTGATTTCTACCCATCCAGGTGGCTAGTGGCCCTATAACAAAGACTTATTAATGTAATGTCACACCTTATGAGAGTTTGAGGGGGAAATGGTAGGCTCGGCTTAAATAGATGAGAAGCGGAAATGAAATCTGTGCTGTTTCGCTAGCCGACCCCTTAGCACCATCCAGGCGTGACAGAGTGGAGACGAGAACAGCATATTCATTCCATTCATCTGCGGTATCATAGTTTTCGCAAACGGAGCGCTTGTTCGCCTAGGTTTGATAAGCGCTGTGGATATCCTACAGAAGTGTGCGAGAACAGTTAGCGGCATGACCATGAGTCGGGGCCGATTTGAACAATACTCACCTGCAAAATACGCGTTCCAGCCAATTGGTGTGTACGTTGGTGGCCACGAATAAAGGTTTCGAAGCCGCCGACGAGATCCTAAACCGTCGCCATAATGTTGAGGCGAAAATTGCAAGGCATGGTGAAAATAGGATCGTTGCCGTAGTCATCAATGTGGCTAACAGGGGCACCGATATTACCCATAGTGAAGAATTGAAAGTAGACAGACCATCCCGGAATAGTGGGGAGCTCAAATCCAGTACTTGCAATACCCCTGGGAGCATAGAAGGGTCTGGCGATAAGATTTTGACCTGCCAGAAAGTCCTCGGGGGGCTCGGAAGACTCACTCTCTCGGACACCTCTGTGTGGCTAATGAGTGAAGTTTGAACTAGAATTTTCCGTTATGCTTCGCTTCATCATGCTCGTTATCTTCAGCCTGATCTCTGTCTCTGCATCTGATGGGGTGTGAAGGGCATCCGAGGTTCTATGTGCCAAAGAAACTAGGCAGGGGGTGCTTCCTAAGTCGAGGGATACACCTTGGGTGACAGAACAGGGAAAACACTTATGTGCGACTGGTTTGAGATGGCTTTGTTACCAAGCAGAACAGAAACCGTAGGTTAATTGACCTCTACCTCGGGTGAACCTAGAAGAACATACTTACGATTCTACTGCTTGAAAGATGAAAATAAATGGATCAATCAGCTTAGCTTACTACATATCAATTAACTAGGAATATCCAAGATAACGCTAGGATATAACGAAGTGCGTAAGTAAGCATATTAATTTTCACCCGTCCTAGTTCTCTACCTTCTCTGTTATGGAACGTAAGTGGTGGTAAAGATGATCCTATTACTATGGAATGGCTACATAAGATGTCCACAGATACCTATCCTGCTTAGTAATATCCCCGGGCCCTAGGCCTTCACAAGTGCCCCCTCCGAGAGGCTGTTGCCGCCCTCGGTAGCGTGGGGAAACAAGGAAAAGGAAAATATGGAGAATCTACCACTGTTCAGAAATCCGCGGCAATTTGTTCATCCTAGAGGAGCGGTGTTTGTGGCGGCGGGCGCATTGCCGTAGCAATTGCCTCGACCTCCTCCTTGATTGCGCTGTCTTTCATTGTCTCGATACATCGCTCCACTAGCAGCAGGCCTTCGGCGAAGGCGGTGGCGTCTCAAATGGAGCTGAGGGACGCGTCTAGTCCTTCACGCATAGCGCGTACAACACGCGGGTCTCCTTCGACGAAGCGGGCACGGAAGTCAATCAACCCGGCATGATCGAGGGAGATAATGCAAGCGAGGTTGGCGGTATTACCGACGTATTGCCACAACGCCTCAACAGCTAGTAGTAGGGATACCACAGGGCCGACAAGGTCAGGGGCTCCGTTGATTTGGCTGATACGGAAGCGCAGCTCTGTATTTTGCAGAGGCCCAGAGCGGGGTTTTGCGATTGCTACGGGATATGGTTGTCGGAAGTGATATTGTGTTGTCTTTCTCTCTCACGGCGGGCGCGTCGTCGTCGACGAGCCGCGACGTTGTCGAAAGAGTCGCGACCTTGTGTGACCTAGCGGACCTCATTCCAAAGCTGCCGCTCTGCTTCAGCATTGGCCTGGCTCTCGGTATGGAGACGACGCAGCATTCGTCGCCTAAGACGGACCAATCTGGTCCTTATCCCGACGAGCATACAGCAATTGTTTAAAATTGGGTCCATCCGTGCTTCGATGCGCTCAATAGCGGTAGTGATCACATTCTCGATGATTGCACACATCCAGCACATGACGATCAACGCCCCGTAAAAATCAGTTGACGAAGCCCGGGTCGTCCAATTTTTCGAACTCTCACTTGGGTGAGGCCATTCAGCTCTTCATCATTTAGCGCTTGGGTATGCTGCTCATCGGCCCTTTGTAAAAGACTCCAGGATACCATATGTATGTGCTTTTGAAAATCTTGTTGTGTGAATTCCTCCTCATCTTTTAGATAAGTGCGGGGCTTGGTCACATAACCGCCAGGCCCACTGCAACAGTAATGCCATCCACCGAAAGATCTCGTCCCGAGATCCTGCTTCGGGACGGTTAAACAAGTGAAAAAATAAAATTAAGCACCCTCCATCCTTAAATTTGTACCTCGGCGTCCTGGGACAATTCTTCGGGTCGTGCCGGTTTAGCCTGTTGTGGCTTACTGGGTCTCGTTGTGAACTTTGGCTGGCAGAGAAGTATCTTTCTCAGCCACTGGTGGGATTTGGCCCTCAGTTTGGTCAGGTTGATCAGCTTGGCAAGCTGTGGTAGAAAAGCATCGAATTTCGGTTAATTTCTAGGCTAGCCGGGTCCAGTGACAAGAATCCTCACGAGAGAGTCCGAATGGAACGAGCGGTACCGCCTATCTGGTCACCTGGAATGGCGACCGGAACACCAGATTGCTCGTTCCATGGCTCCATAGTTGGCCGCCTCAGGCTGGAGGCTGTACATCACTTGGATAAAGACCATCATTCTGACTTCCATATTCCATACAATAACCAACGTAGGCACTTCTATGATTGCGTTCACCAAACTCATGCCTCGTGACCTAGCTGCCCATCACTGCACGATAGGATTGGTGGGTCAACGACTTTGTCTTTGTCAGGTTTGTGTTTGGGGTGCAATTTTGAAAAGAAGCATGCAAGGAAAGGGCGATGTGTGACTATTTGATAGAAAGTGGGTGAGCCCTGAGAGGATGGTGAAGGTCACTGCAGGGAACTCGGTATTAGTCAAATCTTGGTAGCAGATCTGAGAGGTTGTACCTTGAGTAGGACTGCAAACACGACCCGACTTCCTTTTTTCCAATTCAAGGTTAGCGTCAGATATAGGAGGATGGTGGATGGCAAATGAGAAGAGAAGAAGAGAAAATCAGCAAGAAAAGATAGCCCGTAATTACTTTAAACCCATGCGAGAAGGAACCTTTTCACGAGGAAGGCAGGACCGTCACATTGGGAGGACCCAAGACTAGTGAACCTTAGCGGTTGCTCGTGCAGTGGCAATAACCAGAAAGCAGCGCTCTCGCCACTTCTATCATTTCGAAACCTGGCATTGTCATAGAACATATACCTACAAGTGATCAGGAGAGTAACCCATGGCTGATAGTGAAATGAAATTTGATATGGCCACATCGGAGAAAAATCCCTATGAGAAGTAAGTGCTAATCGAGATCCGACGCCGTCTGCATGGTGACTGGCGTAATGATAGAGATCCAGGAAAATCTAGCTGAGCTGGGTCCAAAGTTCCTGCTCGAGGACGCCATCCTTTACCTCCTCGGTCTGGAGGTTTTGCATTTGCCAAATCAGAAAAGCCATTCTCGCTTCGATGCCGAACACAATGTTGATTCAAGGTCCTTGTTCATTGGATGCATACTGACCCAAGGTCCCGGAAACCGATCTCATTACTTCGAGTGCCTCTTTTAGTATCGCTGCTCGACGTTGTGCTCGTGTATCGCGGCGGCATCTCAGTTGAGCCAGGTGCTCCAGAAGCGCATCGCTTGGGATGGGATCTTCATTTTATCTGCTAATTTTTTCATTGTCAGTTTTTCGTTGAGACATATTTGTGGACAGAACGTCTATTATGGGGTTTCTCTCACTTGGATAGGACTTGTCGCCTTTCAATTGGGAAATGCTGTCTTCCGAGGGACCTGAAAAACAACCAGATTTTGTCAGCTTCATATTGTCTTGGTGATCTTTGTTATGATTCAAGGGACCATACCTCGTGGGTTTTGTAGAGAGAAGAATGTGTGAGATCGTGAAAGGTAGAGGAACGAAGAAGAGAAGACTGGTGGCCATGATTTAAATACCAAGTGCTGTAGGGGTACGGCAGTGGGCGCGTTTTCACAGATTAGAAGGAGCGCCATATGAAGTAAAGAGCAACAGTGGTAAATTTTAACCAATTCTTCAGTAGTGGTCACCATTAACTGAATGGGGAAAATCATTGCTCCCTAAGGCTCTCTGAGCTACGAACAGACTAGAGGCAGACTATCTTGTCACAAACATTCCTATTGAAAGCCGTCCACATTCCTCACACTGTAATGTCTTTTGACAGTTGAATGTTATTCCTAGCCATAGATTGTGACAACCTGCTCTCCATATTCCGCCCCTTTGTTAGCCAATCTGGCTCCAGATATCCCGTTCGAGCGCACGATCAACTATCTCTGCGTTGCATAAGGCGAGCATCTCATCCACGAGGAGTTGCATCCTTATTTCGATATTTCGGAGGATATTCGCAATATGTGGCTGGGGTAGACCCAGCTCTTGGTCCATAGCAAGCTGAGCACCTTGCAATAGTTGTGCTACCTCGTTCACAATACCTCCGTAGGCGTTAACCCGTCGAGTTGCTCGTAGGTGGAGCTCTGTCAGCGGCTCAAGATCCGCGTGACTTGGCACGGGAATTGGGTGCTCATCCGCCACTTTGTCCTTGTTAGCCTTTTTTTGGAGACGCGGTGGGGCATAGAATATCAAGGGGAGGATTTGAATCTCACTCTTCGGGGACTGGTGTGGACCTGAGTTGTCTCGTTTAAGCTTTCGTACGTCGTGACCCATACAGCAATAACGTCGTGTTAGGTCCTTAGTTTATTTTGAATCTTGCTAGGCAATCGTAGGTCTTACCTTGATTGTGCTTCGAGAGAGGTGAGAGGATAAAACCTTGGAATAGAGGACAGGAGTAGTTGCAAGAATGTGAAATTTTGATTGGGGATGGCGTTTCATCGAGGAAGGTGCGACCGGGTCCTTGAAGAGACCACAGCAGCCCAGGTGATGAATCCTAGCCAATATCCTTAACGCCATCATTCCGACAGACAAGCATACTTGTAGAATATATATAGACCAAGCCATTATTGGTAGTAGAACAAAAGGATACTTGGGGCTTGTTAGAGAAATTTCGGAATGAGAAGTAAGACCCAAGTGAGATTTGACGATGCCTAAGCAGCCCTGATGAAGCATTCCGAAAGTTATCATTGAGGAGTGCGAATTGAAGTTCCCGTGACAGGGCTCAGATGGTAGATAAGGTGAAAACAAGTAGCGGCACTTTAGGTTGACATATGAAGCCACTCCTACACTTTGACTTGTGAAAGCGAATTTAATAACCAAAGGATATTGTTAATGCCTGAGGTTCTCTATGCTACTTTACCTTCAAGAGTTTTAGTGTTCAAGTCCTTTAGTATTCTTCATAGTGTCTATCTTATCGAACATCTGATCCTCCCTCGTAATCAGCCACGAGCCGTAATAAACCGCTCTTTGTTCTCTCCCTAATCCTCGTACGAGTGACCTATAAGTATCTCCTCTTCAATGTCGCTATCTTTCATCTCTTGGAGATAGAGGGCCATCATCCCATGCGCTAGAAAGCGCATCCGGCCTTCCAAGTGGCAGAGAAACTCCACAGCGAGACCTTTTTCAGTAGAGGCATACCTTCCCACAATCTCCTACAGCCAGCACATCATGATCAATTCCTCCGTAGAAATTAGGGCGCGAAGCCAGCTTCGTCGGATTCGCCGAAGTCTCACTTGCGTGAGCTCCTCGAGCTCCTCATCAATGAGTGCTCTGATGACCTGCCGATTGGCCACTTCGTCCTTGTCAGCTTTATGCTTGCGGTTTGGCTACGGAGAAGCGTAAGGGGAGGGATTGTATCTCACTTAGGTAGTTCCCTATATGGTTTGGTGATTCTTAAGCTGTATGCTAGTTAGTCCAATGTCAGCTGTTTGTTTTAGGGAAAGTTCTCTTGTCGTTGAATGGATCACACCTTCAAAAGCCTGACTCGGGCAATGTTGTGCGAGATTGTTGAGAAAAAGAGGAAAGGAAGTAGAGAGAAAAGAATGAATGAAAGAAAAATGGGGAATCGTTTTGATTGGCAATTACTCCATGACTGCGACGGGAATCGCGTCGCCGCGAGGAAGGTGCAACTCGGATCTTAAGTAAATACCACAGCTGCCCAGGTAATGGACACTAATGTAGACTGAGACAATATATGTATAGAGGAAGCCACCATTAATGGTGAAACCAAATGTGGCTCGTTAAGAGTATAACATTTATGAAAAGTAAGACCAGAGTGAGAGTTGATAATGCATACCCAATCACCAGGCCGATGATACAGTCAAAAGGAAACCAGTAAAATGTGCGAACTGAAGTTCCTATGACTGCTGTTAAGGATTAGAAAAGGTGAAAGCAATTTGCGATACTGTAGCATGAAATAGAGCCACCGTGAGGATTCTACTTATGCAAGATCAAGATCTATGAACAAAGGTCATCATTAGTACCTAAGGCTCTCTACGCTGCCATATGTACAATGTGCGTTTAGAAATCTTCATGTTAAAATTCATTGACATTCGTCATAGGGCAAATATTATTAATTAATCTCGGATCACAAGTAGCCATGAACTGTAGTGGTATGCTCTTCATAATCTTCTTGATCGTCAGCCTAGCTAGCTTGCAAGATCCCCTGCTCCGTGGCACAGTCATTCTCCTCTTCGAGCTGGAGAGGGCAAATTTGGTGGATTAGGACCCACATTCTCACCTCAATGTGCCAAAGAAGATGCGCTGGAGATGCTTCATAGCTGGAAGTATACCTGGCGACACTTCCGTAAACGTACCCCATAATGCTGAGGGTCTCTGCCAAAATTTCGCCCCGAAGGCGGACTCGCCAGGTCTCCCGCACTCTCAGTTCTGTTAGCTCCTCTAGCTGCCCGTCCTCCAAGGATCGGATTGGCTGCTGATCAGCCACTTTGCCTTTATCAGCATAGTGTTTAACGGGTGAGTGAGAACAGAACATAAAGGGAAGAAGGTGTCTCTCACTGAGGACTTTTGAGTAGTGGTGGAAGATTTGTGATTTTCAAGCTGTAAAACAAAGGCTATGGGTTAATTGCTTGTCTTTTCATAGAATAAGCTACAATTGATAGCAAAATGATATCCCATAGAAGGCGAGTAAAGGATGATCTCACCGAAAAATAAGAAAAAGACAATATTTAACGAACTCGATATCTGCATGGATGCTATTGGGGTTAAATAATTAAGCTTCAAATATGTACTGTAAGCTTTTACACCAACGTAGGTTTGGGTAGTAAGAGAGGTGAAAGAGACTCACGACGGTGAACCTTCACGAAGTTGTCGAAGCTCGCGACAAGGCGTCAAACACTGGCCGCAACGGCCATGACCAGGTCGTGATCCAACATGAAAGCGATCGGTTCATCATTTGCATCAATTGCACCAGGTATCACGCCCATACCCCCAAAATTGTTGGTGGTTTTATGGTTGTGCGGGCTATCATAAACCCCTGAAAGAAGTGGGATGTCTTCATTGTAATCAGTGAGTTTTGTTGAGATCTCCTGTTCGCACACGAGCCTTAATTGTATCGGGGAACATGGCAAGAATCTTATCCCGAAGAAGGAATTTGATCTTTTGTCATATCGCACTTTTGCGGGGTTTAGGTACAGTAAGGCTGCCTCACCAACGGCTCTCCTTACCCTAGTATCACCACATTCCACAGGTCGCGCTCGAACGCGGCATACCCTCCTCATGTCTGCGAATGATAATCAGTTGACCTGGGAGAGCCGCCGTTATATGCTCGAGCCGGCGCAACACGAGCACACCGGAGGATTGAGTGGCATCGACCAAGCCTTCCAGATCCCCCATTCGGTGCATCTCCTCCCGAAGTGCTATTTGCTGAATGTATACTCGGCGGGTTGCGCGCAGTCTCAGCTGTGTGAGCTGCTCGAACTCTTCGTCGTTCGGGGTAGGGATAGGCCGCAGGTCGGCTACTGTCTCCTTGTCAGCTTGTGCTTGAACCACGGTAGGAACGGGACATTAGGTAGGGGGGAGGTGTCTCACTGGTTTGGGTTGGGGTTATAAGTTGGGGTTTCTTGATAATGATAAATTGACAAATGCTCAGATCCGGTCAGCTTCTGGTGTTCCTAAAAGACTTGTCTGTGGGCTGAAAAATTATCACCTTTGTTCCAATACTTTAGTTTGGAATTTCGAGAAGTTGAGGAGGGACGAAGGAGGAAGGGAGAAAGAAAAAGACGAAGACAAAATATATTCCAGGTATCATAATCCTCATTTGCTACGAGAGAAAGTGCGTTGTCACGAGGAAGCCGCGACTCTCACTCTATAACAGGATATCATACCTTGATGAGATACTGAAAGATCCTCAATATTTACCAAGTGGTGGGGGGTCAAGATATATATAGTGAAGCTAAAAAGATGCTCAAGATAAAATTGATAGTGATATGGCTCAAGTTTGATTTTAACGAAATGTAAATGTGAACTGGGATTTGATTGAGGTGTAAAACAAAGAACTTGAAAACTTAATCTGATCTATAATATGCTCCAAAGCGTGGCATCTTGTTTCCTTATCATGCTCCCTTCGGCAGCCTTGCTCCGTGAGAAACTTCCGTTCCTCCCCTGCTGTGTCACCGCAGCTCACACCTGACGCTCGAGGGCTGCATCTTCCTATGCCTGTTCGCCAATTTCAACGAGCTGGCTCATCAGAGTTGCCATGACACTTTCTGGCTACCGAATGACAAGCACATCGGGGTTCACCCCTCTCCGAACATCCGGTGGCCTGGGCGCAGAGTTGGCGCTCTGTCACCTGGTATCTTTCTTCGCCTTCGTTTATTGCGACCAGGCGTTGCAAAGGGGTTTCCAGAATATTTCCCAAGCGCCAAATACCCAGGACAGCCGAGCCGAGCTTGTAGTAAGGGTCAGTGTTGTTCATCATGTTATCTAGCTAGCCATGGCCCAGATAACCTCACCAAGCACCATGCGCCGGAGATTGCACCGTCAAGCTATTTGCAGCCACATCTGCGAGACCATGTCTATCCGCTCATTGTTGGGTTTGCGGATCTGCCGCCCGTCCACCACTTTGAATTTTCAGCCTTGCGTTTCGTACGCCGTGGTGACGAGGTATACCTCTCACTAGTAGTAGGTGAATGGTATTTGGGCGAAGGCAGTTTCAGACTATACACCAACCAGTGCTAGTTAGCCATTTGTCTCGTCACAAATATAGACCATAGGGCAGAGGGATCTCACCTTGGGGGTTGTGGTGTTAGGAATATTGAAGAAGTAGGAAAGAACAAGAATGAAAAATGAACCACTAGATAGGATCTTAAATAGCAATTCCCACCCCTGATTTGAAGAGCATACAAGTGCAACGTGAAGAAAGACCATGAGTTATAGAAGCCATCCACATTCCGCACTCGCACATATATGTTCAAGCAGTAAAAAACCAACCTCTTCGACATTTCCGTACGTCCAAGCCAAATGATACCGACAAAATATATAGAACGTAAAACAGAATGGAACCCAAAATTATTTTGTGCACAGTGTTAGTTAAAGAGTCAACAGAAACTAACAGGCAAGTGGGATCTGGAAATATATATGCGCTTAAGCCCTTAGACAAAGAATTCAAATGTGGAACAAATCTCGGATCAAGTTTGACGCAGAATATCATCTCAAGATGGTACAACTGACAGATACACATAAAAAATTGGATATCGTCATGATCGAAATATAGTTCTCAATGCGGGTGAGAACATCACTTCGGAAAATTCCCTGCAAGAGAAAATTACCTCCCTCCAGATCCCCGCTTCCTAAGCACGAGCTGCTCCTCTTCGGCCCGTTACCAAAAGTATCCCCAGAGGGAATTTGCATGCTGTGTTTATAGTTTGAGCATCTAAGCTTCGGTGGATTAGTACCAATATGCTTGCATGCGTGAGCTCGGTTGATCTGGTCGAGACACGGCTGAGTTAGGACTTCTGACTGCCTATCGCTAGGCGGTGGGGGAGTGTCAAATTTTAGATCTACCTTGGGAGTGGGACGCTCTGCCGTGATCCATATCTCCTGTGGCAGGCGTTGTATCCCGGAGTGGTATGTGGGGAGTCGGGCCCACCGGATTGCACGAAGCTTCAGCCGCTCCTCACTGATGGATGGTATCGGCCTATTTTGGGCCGCTTCATTTTTGTCAGCTTTGTATTCTACACGCTTTTGGCAGAGTGGAGATGGTGAAACCCATCTGTCGAAGCCTCCAAGAGATCTGTGATGTGTGAAAGGTTCAGATGCCGTCATAAAGATCGACCTACAAAGGAACCAGTTCGGGGATTTTTTGTTTTCTCATAAACTAGGATAATATATCTAGATAGCTTACCTGAACGGGTGAGTGCGTGCAGGTCATGTAACAAACTTGAATTTTGAGTAAGGGGAACGCAAAGAGCATTAGGGAGGATATGAGACACTGATTCGAAACCGCGTCGCCGCGAGCAAGATGCGAGTGTAGAATTCAACAGGAAACAGCTAGGCAGGGGCTTACTAGCAATTTCTTAAATTAAAAGTCACTTATAATAAAGAACTCTATATTCAGTGAGCACGCCTTAGTTTGTAGGAAAATTGTATTTGGAACATTGTAGAATGACGATCAGAGCAACAGCTGGGTGCGAAGTGGGATTTTTTCAAAAGCTCCTCACAAGGTTCCGTAGTTCGTATTTCCCATATTCAGCGAAGGTCGTGCGTGAAAATGCTCCTAGGCCCGTAAGTCTTGCATTGCTCGGAGAGGTCTTCCACGGCCGGTTGAGATTCCCAGAGCATCATTGTAGAGGGGGATAGCTGGTCAAAGAATATGAGGTTTGTCGCCTCCCGTATAATCTAGCTGTCTGTGTTGGAAATACCCCCGAGCTTTTCGAAGTACTGAGTACGTATTTGTTCGCAGACCCCCCAAATTCGCCTCCGATTGGCAAGTCCAAAGATGTAATCATCATTCTCTGATGTGTACTTACTCTTCTTATCAATATCCAGAAGTAGCTTGGAAGTTTTGCCTTCGAAATATTGGGATTGAAAAACATCGACATCGTGAATCTCCCAGAGCCATGGTACTTCTCTTCTGAGCCTTTGTTTCCAAATCTCGGCGCGTAAGGTTGTGGTATGCATCGTCGAGGACGCAGCCTTCAGAGCAAGAATAGAGCCAGCGGGAAGAAGTTCAAAAATCTCGTGTCGCAGCTCAACTGGGAGCTTACTGAAAATATCCTCACCTGGGGGATTCCGATCCGGTCTGGCTTTCTTGTCGAGAGAGTTCATGATAAGGTCAAGATCCGAATCCAGATCGGGGATTGTAACCGGATTTACAACCAAACTCTGCCTGGTATGAGCGTTTATGTTCCCCTCTTGAATCAAGTGTCCTAAAATAACGTACTTCTTCGCCCCTAGGATGGTGCCAAACTTGCTCAGCAAGGGGCTCTGGTTGACCATAACTGAGCTGCAACCTGACGTATTGACCACCATTCAAATTTTCCATGACCTCAAATAAGACGTCCCTCTTGATCTGGTCAGGGCTTTGTTGACCGATACATCTCTGAAGGATATCCTGGTAACAAATTGTATGGAAGGGGAACACATGACGCAACCCAATTTCGGAAAAATCATGATAACTATAAGCATTAGGAAGGATTGGCGGAAGGCATGGGGACAGCATACGCAGTCATAGGGATATCACTAGCTCCGTTATAAAAAGGAACATTAGGATCTTGGAAAGAGACCAGTGAGTTAGTTGAACTCGAATTAAACCCCAAAACACCCGTGAGTCAAAGACTCACCATCTCCCCTAGAAACATCGATTTGCCCCTACGAGACAGAGATTAACCATGCTATTTTGTGTACTGCGTTCATAAGAGCCGTACGCAATCCCAATAATGACCGACACCCGTAACAAATGATCTAAAGGTCAATGAGAACGCTTTATTCATAGTTTGATAGGGAGCAACTGTGACAAACTTATCATTTCCAGACACGTCAGGATTGATACCCAGGGCACAGACTTTGTCTAACCATTCCAGGTTGCAGTCCTTTAGGACTTCGTAGCGATAATACTCCTCGTCCGTCCCTTCGGGGTCCATATCCACCTGGCTAGAGAACGTACTGCCACATATTGCACAATATATTTCCCATCCACCCATGTTGGTATTTCCAATGTTGAATGTCAATAGCAAGGATGGTGATTGTGGATGACGTTGGAACTAAGTTCGTCACGTGGGTGAAAACGCGGAGAAATTTACTAGCACGTGGGAAAACTGGTGTTCGCCCCACCAGTGACGGCATCGCTGGGTAGGTTTCGTGGACCATACTGTATTACGTGTAATACCATGATTATGGAATTGAAAACGATCTATCAAGGCAGCTGGAGGATGTATGACTTAGCTGTTTAGCACTGCCCTCAAAGTGAAAGTCAACTCATAAGTGAGTGAAAAGTGAGTAAAAGTGTTTAACATGTGTAGTAAACAAACAAGAATTAATAGCAGAATGGCATTTTAAACGAGGCTCTTTGGAGAATTACCTCAATATGAAGTAATGTCAAATTGGTAGTATCTCAAGACACCCCTGCGCACCCCTGCACGCCGCTGCAGTATTTCTTCCACTATGTTTTCTAGCCAATGGTCTGCATAATCCAGCATTCTGTCCATCCATCCATCTGCTCTTCAAGGAGCAGCTCATGCAGCTCATCCAACAGACCCAACATTCTGTGCTCCAAGGTGAGAAGCATTTCCGGGATTGCACGGTAGTAGCCCGAATTATCTCCCCCATGGAGGCTTATCAGCCCCGCGCCGATACCCATAATGATCTGGGATTCTTCCATCAGGCTTTCGTAAGCGTATTCTCGCTCATCGGCACGTTCTCGTAACTGGGTGAGCAGCTCTAGCTGCTCACTGTTGAAGGTCGGGATTGGCCGGATCTCGTCCACTTTTCCTTGTCAGCTTTGATTTAATATTGCGGTCATCAACGGAGATATATCTCACTCTCGGCACGAGTAAATCGTTCTATTTTTTCTGAAATTTGAACTGAAATTGGAGGAGGTTCAACCTGTAAATTGACAAGTGGTAGTTAGTCTTTGGTCTCACAAATCCTTGCAAGGTGCTGAGGAAACTTACTTTAGGACGGAATCCAAAGTTGGGATGCGAAGTGTGGGATTTGAGGAAGGAAGAAGAGAAGAAGACTGATTGGGAGAAATAATAATGCCATTCATATGAGCAAGCGCGTTTTCACGTGTAAGCAATTAAACGGAAAGAGCAAGACTGTTATAGCCCAAGCAATACGTTGATAGCGATAATCAACGCTTATGCGTCCAAACTTACTTTTCTAGCGATACTAACACTATTTTTAGTGATAGTGAGCGGGAATTGAGACTAAAAGCATGTTTGAAGCAACGATCCTAGGAAACGATCTTCATAAGTGAGACCAAATTGAAACTACATTCCATTTCTTAGTAGACTATTCCCTTTCCTGGAAGGGATTTACTACTCTCTGTGGTGTCACAGTAGAATCAGCTGGCCTTCAAGTCATTTTTATTGACTTCAGTTTTATATATATCTGTGAAGTGAATTGGCGCATGTCCTTCGACTAACCTTTCTCCTAGATCGGTCATCGTCCACTTGGCAAAATCAGAGGGGATAGAACCCAGGGTGGACATTTTATTTTGCAGCCCCGTATCATGGAAGCGTAATTCCCACTCAAATGCCTATGGTCAGATTGCCATTCTGAATTTACAAGAGGAACAATAATATATGGAATTCAGTATCAATATATTCCTTTATGGTTAGGTATAAATGCAGTGACTAGCGGTGATAAGGTTGAGACCCCGTTGGACTGTAATGCATTAATTCCTACTGTGTAAGGCTTTGATTTTATGGAAGATCGGCTCGCATTGGACATTTCTCTGCCATACTTTGATCCGAGAACGTCTCGCATTGACTCGCCGTGGTAAATTCGAAAACCGATCGTTCTTCTCCGCAGCTCATAAGCGTGATTTGCTTGGCTCGAGCAAATGGTGCCTCCCTTCAGTCTCGGCATAAGATGATAGTTTATCTGCGTACCTGCCTTGGCTGCCGCTCTTTGCATGGACCTGAATGGCTTTTTGCCATGGTGAGAACTTGGCACCCAGCTCCAGGTAAGCCATAACGCTCTCGGCGCTCGTCGCCGTAGATCTTTGATTAGTATATTGGCCCCATGAATATGCTTTCTCGTCAGCACATTCCACCAGACCCAATGTGTGGTCCATTGATCACCAACCTCTAGTCCCCATAAGCCCAAAATCTCTTCGTTACAATAAAGAATTGATCCATGGGTCTGGTTAATGCTTCCAGAAACCTACTGCTCTGTCCAGCTATCAATCGCATCTGTGACACGAAGGTCCCGTCCCTTACCTAGTTGGCTTAGCATTCGTATCTTAGGGGTTTGCAGCATTCCTGGAACGGTACGAAAGATATCCCACAGGTGTCCTCAGCATACAATTTTATTAACATTGCACTAGCTGCCCGAATAATCATCGCTTGCCGCATTATTCCTCTACGATATTCAGCCCGTTGAGCTCCGCCGACTCGCAACTGAGCCAACAGCTCTAGTTGGTGAACATTGGATTATGATGTTGATCGATCATTAGCGACTTTCCATGGTTCTTAGCTTTCATCTGCAATATTATATGGAATAGGGGAACAGGCGTTCGGAGGGTCAAGCGGATAGATGTCGTTGACATACTCCTTGTTCTTTGGCAGCTTCTAGATGTGAGTAGAGAGGGTTCTGATTCTCGTAGTAAGCTTTCTCGCAGTAGGATATGCTAGAACCATGTTAAGGATAATTGTGTTAGGGTAACTGTTTCTGGAGTCAGAGACTATAACTGAGCATATTGCGAGTGTTTGAGCCGGCTTAGCTATTAGTAGCAAAATGCATACCTGTTTCTCTGATTCCCAGTTCCAATGGTAAAGTATCTATAATTTCACTTCAGTAGGTCGGATATCCCACCTTGTTCTCAATCTGTAAAAATACCCAGTCCCTATGAGGTTTCCATTTTGTTTTACCCCTTGGCTATCAACGAGGGGACGCAACTACGGAACGCGCAGATAGTGTTCTTAGATATCTAAATGCTCTGACATTACTCTCACCTTTTCTTTAATACCTTTCTCTTTTAGAAAGCATTTCAACAGTCAATGAAGGTTTGCTGTCGACAACTTTCTATGTCGTAAAATTGTAAAGTGTTGCTATAAAGGTAGGTATATAAAGACCTTTTAGGCCTCACTACCCTTCCTCTTTCTCTTTTGAAGCGGGACGTGGAAATCGTTCCTTCCTCGTGACATCCTGCTCTCTATCTGTGGGATTTCTATTTAGGATCCTCTTTGATACATTTATTCTCTTCGTTTTTTAATATTCTACTAAAACTTCTGACTACAAACATCTTTTAAAGGTGCATCACGAGGGATATTGGATACCACTAAGAGGATGAGACACCTGGCCTTTTCCCCGAGTCTTCTTCAACAATCTTCATATCCATTCCCTCTACTTGCTCAACCTGAGGTATACCATCTACTTACTCCATGGTATATTTGCGATAGAATGCAAAGCCAACAGGCATCAACTGTCTATTACAGGAAGCACTCATCACACAAAGCTACCTACCACATCTTTACCCATAGACACCATCTTGGATACCGCCCCAAAAGTAAGATACCCATCTACTTCAAACTCCAACAGGGTTCCTAAAGCAAAACTGACGAAAGAAAAGTGCGAAATCCTGATCCTATCCAATCAGTGAATGAACAACAAATCGAACGACTTACTCAATTCCGTGCCTGCAGCATCCAGGAAATTACTGCCCTTGTGCAGGCCTTGAAACATGTCCAATGGCTCGAGGACATACACCGCTTCCTAATTAAAGCCACCAAGTATGTGCTTCCCCTAAGGGCTGCTGAGATGATGAATGCGTGGATTGATTGGAGTATTGACGTTGCGTATCAAAAGGAAATCTCAACGCGAGTGGCGCTACTACTATGAATCTTCCAACTCAAACTTCATTACACTGATACACCGTATAGATAGTGTATCATAACCATACGAAGGTCATTTTTAAAAGAGTATGCTTAAAAAGATTGACCTTAAGGAAAGTTCCGGGTAAAATTGGTTTATTTGGAGACCATACTGCATTATCCGTTTCATGATTCGTTCGGGCCACCTTAGCCCAAATCCTTCCCTCCATCCGAATACCCATGCTCTCTTCGGCTCATATCCTAGTAATCTTGTGGAGAAGCCCCAACATGCGCTGCTCCAGTGTCTGGAGCATTAGCGGAATGGATAGGGAGTAGTAGAAGTAAGATCTCCCATTCCCGTGTAGAATGATTAATCCTGCACTAACACCCTATATCAGCCGTGCCTCCTGCAAGATCCTTGCCCGAGCATTCGCTCGCTCAGTACCTCGTACTCGCAGGTGC